AGCTGTAGTCCCAGCTACTTGGGAGGCTGAGGCAAGAGAATCGCTTGAGCCCAAGAGTTTGAGGTTGCTGTGAGCTATGACACCACAGCACTCTACCCAAGGTGACAGCTTGAGACTGTCTCAAAAACAAACAAAACCCCCCAACAAAAGTTAGCTGGGCGTGGTGGCATAGAACTTTAGTCCTAGCTACTTGGGAAGCTAACGCAGGAGAATTGCTTCAGCCCAGGATTTTGAGGTGGCAGTAAGCTACAATGACGCCACTGCCCTCTAGCCAGGGAGACAGAGTGAGGCCCTGTCAAAAAAAAAAAAAAAATTAAGGTGGAGCACAGACTTGTTTTACAGTCATGCCAAAAGTTACACCTATTGTAAACTTTTCTTCTTTTATACCTAGATTGAGTTTCTGATTATTTGTGACAGATGACACTCTTAAATATTCTACTAGAGTTGTAATTAATTTATACTGCTAGAGAATGAAAACAGTGAAACGTAAATCTCATTAGCTCAGCTACTGTATGAATTTCAGCAAATAAGAGGACTACCAAAAATGACTTTCAAAGATTTGTTAACGTTAGTAAAAGCATCAAGTCAAAAAGACATTCTTCCCCCAAAGATTTAAGACGATTTTCTGTATTTCCTCTATAATTATGCAGTAAACTTTATGTACCATAAAGAAAACAATTTTAATTTCACCATAGGAGTAAATTATTAGATTAATTCATCACATATTCTGCTACTTAAAAAAAACTCATCTACTATATTATCTTTCCTAAATTACAAAAATGAGATAAATTTAAGCAGAGATTTTCTCTAACTTTCACCCACTGAAAATTTCCAGCTGACTCCCAAAATACTTTCCATAAATCATTCTGTATGTTTGGATTGCAGGATAACAAAGATCATTAATTAAATAATACGTTCAAATCTGGAGATGTCACATGAAGCAAGCTGACGAGTCAGTCATCATTCAGTGATGATTAAGACCTGAGGTAAGAGCTGAGGGACTAGGTGAGAGAACCTAAGGCAGCTAGAAGGCACAGGGAAAGGTCTGAAAGCGAACAGAGAGAAAACACCAGAGATTTGTAAAGAGATGCCCTTAAGCAGAGGTCCTCAAACTTTTTGAACTGGGGCCAGTACACTGTCCCTCAGACAGTTGGAGGGCCAGACTGCAGGCCCTGGGACGAGTCGGCTGCTAAGCAGGACAGGGAGTGGCGGCAAAAACACACGGTGCGCTGGATAAATGTCCTCAGCGGGCTGCATGTGGCCCGTGGGCCATAGTTTGAGGATGCCTGCCTTAGGCATTGAGCAAAGTAATAATGCATGTAAGGAACTAGCCAAGGTACAGGAAAAGATCACCACATAGGACACAGCAAACAGTGTGTGATGCTCCGCTGGGCAGGGGGTATGCCTGTTTCTCACCAGCCACCTGGGAAAAAATCGGTAATACTCAAGTCACGTTTGACTTCTGCAATTATGAGAGGTGCTCAATGTGACTTGTATTCATCTTTTGTTATCAGTATTTATTATTACAATTTTGTCCAACTATATGAAGCAAAACCTCTTTGAAGAAATATAAATTTTATAAGATTTAATACCTCTTCCTCAACTGCTGAAAGAAGAAACAGACAAACATCAGCAAGGAGGATGGGCGCAGTGGCTCACACCTGTAATCCTAACATTCTGGGAGGCCGGTCGACTGCCTGAGCTCACAAGTTTGAGACCAGCCTGAGCAAGCACGAGACCCCTTCTCTAAAAAAAAAAAAAAAAAACAAGAAAAAATATTGGGTGGCGTCTGTTGCTCACTAAGTAGGGTACCAGCCCCATATACAGAGGGTGATGGGTTCAAACCCAGCCCTGGCCAAACTGCAACAATAACAAAAAAGTAGCCAGGAGTTGTGGCAGGCGCCTGTAGTCCCAGCTACTCCAGAGGCTGAGGCAAGAGAATCACCTAAGCCCAAGAGCTGGAGGTTGCTGTGAGCAGTGTGATGCTGCCACGGCACTCTAAAGGGGCGAGAAAGTGAGACTCTGTCTCAAAAAAAATTGGGTGGCGCCTGTGGCTCAGTGAGTAGGGCGCTGGCCCCAATACTGAAAGTGGTGGTTTCACACCTGGCTCCAGCCAAACTGCAACAACAAATAGCCAAGCGTTGTGTCAGGCACCTGTAGTCCCAGCTACTCAGGAGGCTGAAGCAAGAGGACTGCCTAAGCCCAAGAGCTGGAGGTTGCTGTGAGCTGTGATGTCATAGCACTCTACTGAGGGTGATAAAGTGAAAAAATGTCAATAACTTAATTCCACCTGAAAATTTTGTGAATTATCTGATTCATATCCTACTAATTAGGAATTTTAAAGGGTCCAAATAAATTTCTGCATTTTATTATGTAAAAAACCCCCATATACTGGAGAATGTAAAATAGGATCAAAACAGCACATATTATTATTATTATTTTTTTTTTTTTTGAGACCATGCCTCAAGCTGTCCCCCTGGGCAGAGTGCCATGGCATTACAGCTCACAGCAACCTCCAACTCCTGGGCTCAAGCGAGTCTCCTGCCTCCGCCTCC